ATTAAAAAAAAAAAAGATTTATAGCCTTGGAAACTCTATGGGGCAGTTCTACTCTGTCCTATAGGGTTGCTATGACTTGGAATTGACTTGATGGCAATGGGCTTGCATAAAATATAAAATTCCTAATAGACTCCTCAGTGACAGCCCTAAAATCCCAACCATTCCACTTGCCCATATGAATAAGTATCACACCTCTCACTCACCTGCTTGGAGCTTGGATGGCTTCCCAGTCTAACAGCTTAGACATACAATGATAATCGCTTCCCATTTTCCTACTTCAGTTTCTTTCTCTTTCATTGGCATTAAAAAAAGTTACAAACATGAGTCAAGGCTCATGTAGGGTTGACCACTCTGAGCTCAGTGTGACTTGGTAAGCAGTTACCCTGACTTGGCAAATGAAGGTGAGAAGCTAAGAAACACGGTTCCCTTTATAATGTCACGGTTCTCTCACATGGTTTTGAACTCATTACACCCTCTATTGGTTAAATTTCATTTTTTTAGATTTAGCTCCTAGTTATAAAAATATGTAAAGCAGTGTCATTTTCCATTGTGATGGGTGGGGGGTGTGAAACCATAACCACAAATCAAAACGATGGCATATACAAGCAAGAAATGAGGGAGTTCCTTGAATCAAATGCATTAAATGACTACTCAGCAGTGATTCTCAGATTTTTCCATTAATTTTTTTTTTCCAGTGTAAGAAATAATCTTCCTACTGGGCTCGCTCTCTCACTGCTTATTGCTATTTGCCATATAAATGCATCACTGAAAGGAAAAGCAATGCAATCAATGTTCTACTTCTTTCTTTCCCCCTTCCCAGCTGATTCATGGCTAAAGTGAGTGGCCAAACATGAAAAACCTTAGCCACATGAGAGTGGTATAGGAAGAAAGATTCAGGGAAAACAATCACTATAAGTGAAACTCTGAAAGCTCTAACGGCAAACATTTCATACACTGGGGAGCTGAAACATGTAAGTGAACCCATAACATCTCAGCCTGTTGCTGGATCTAATTTACAGCTCAAGCTTTAGGTGCTCTTTGTTGGCACTATAGTAAAACATTACTTTGATTAGCCCAGGAAAATATATCAGGTCTTATCTTTCCTGCCTTCTTTTCTCCAGAAATCTTCTTATTTTTTGAAAAAGGAAACAAAGATATGTAGAAGCCAAAATAAGCTGTATAAAACCTAGATTAAAATGAGTATAAGCTAGACATTGAATCTCATAAAATTTGCGTCTCGGAGAGGGTGGGGAGGCTTGCCAATAATGCTGTGTTCCCCCAGCAGCACATTCAAAGGCATGGGCTTTGGGATCAGAGGACCAGCCTCGGTGGCATCGTGCCTTAGGAGGACGCTTGACGACTCACTGAATCTCAGATTTGGTGCCAGGTCAGGTCTAAAGACAACAAGCACTAGAGAACTTTACCTCTCATGCATGCTTTGCTTTTCTGCTGATTTCTCCATCACTTTTGCCAGGCTGTCGTCTCAGCCTACTCCCCAGAGATTCCAGGTGATATAAGAATGAGCAGAGAATCCCCATAGCCATAGCCATTATCAACATGCAGACCCTCAGTCAACAATTGTTCTATCATCAAGGGGTAGAAGGAAGTAAGATAATAGATTGCTGAGCACCTGCCCTGGCACTAGGAACTTGGGGTAGAAGCTAGGATTTCTGAGCATCTCTTAAATGACAGGCACTGTGATAGGCACTACTATCATCTAATATAATTGTTGCAACTGAAAAGTTGGCTTTATCCCCATTTTACAGACGAGGACTAGAGCCTCAGGGAGCAAAAAGTAACTTGCCCAAGGTCACACATCAAGAAAGCATAGAGCCAGGTTTCAACTACCCTGACAGTTTGACTCCAAAATCCAGGCTCTTTCCATTGCCCTACCTGCTTCCTCTAAAAAGAACACAAAACATTTCTGTCTTTTATAATGACTCATTTTTTTAAAGCAGTTTCGGAAGCCTAGGGACAAGGCAAGAAGGCCAACCTTTGGAAAGCAGGGAACAAGGAAAGGAACCCAATTATGGAGAACAGGAAAGCACAGTGGTTAGAATGGGATGAGCAGGAAGACGGAGAAGGGGAGGATCCAATTGGCCACAGGCCTAGGGTTCTTTCTATCTCCTCTGCCAGGGCCAGATCTGCCAACTCCTTGGTCAAGGCCATGGCTGGAAAGCCCTGTAGGTTTAGCTGCAACCAGTAGACAGAAATAAGTTTTAGACAAGGAGAAGTTAAAGAGAAATCCAGACACATATACACAGTTTGTATTTATACCAGATGAAAAATAAAATAAAGCAGCTTTAGGTGGTAGGTTCTGAGAGGTTCTGAGAGGTTCCAAGCCAGCCCTCTAGATTCTCTTTGAAGAAGTGGGGAAGTTCTCAGGCAAAGTGAAGCAAAAGCCCTAAAGACAAAGGGTGGAGAGAACACCCCGCTGCTGTGGGATGAAGAAGTTTAAGTACCGGCTGAAGGATCCTCAGAGGCCTTTTCTGGTCCAGATCAGAAAGTCACAGGGTGGAGGCTAGGCAGCCCCAATGTGTTGGGCCAGGAGCTGGCAGCATTCTCTGCTTGAGCAGCGATTTGTACTGGGCATATCAAAGTCTCAGGGAAGGCTTACCAACATCCCTAGGGACATGCCTCCCCTGGAGAGTCGCTGCACTGCAGTTAGAGATGCGCCGGGTAGGGAGCGTGCTGCGCAGGTGAACAATGCAACAGCAGAAAACAGAATGAGGGCCACAGGCTGCCTTTGAGGCAGGGACTTTGTTCAACTGGCTAAAATGGTAAAAACAGGTTAGTTCAGAGGTTGGAAATTCAAACATTTGCTGAGGCCCTCCTAAAGCGTGGCTTTTCTATTCCCAGAATCAGTGAGTGCAGTTAGCAAAGCCCTTTTTCCTTCTACTGCCGTTGAAATACTCCATGCCAAGTCCCTCTTTCTCCATCACTCTCTTTCTTGAAATATCTATGGTACTTTTGATTATTGTACTCATTCTGAACTTAATTTGTCTTGCACTGAGATCTAGTTTCTTCCAACTGTGTGCATCTTGTCTTTCCAAATTTACACCATGCATATATACTTAATGAACAAAGTGTATTGTAAAAAGTTACCCATTAAACCCATTGCCATCAAGTCGATTCCAATTTAAAGCGACCCTATAGGACAGAGTAGAACTGCCCCATAGAGTTTCCAAGGAGTGGCCAGTGGATTTGAATTGCAGACCTTTTGGTTAGTAGCTATAGCTCTTCACCACCGTGCCACCAAGACTCCTGTAAAAAGTTAGTAGGAACTGATTTCTGGAAGTGCCAACTCCATTTCTTCTTATCATAAAACCCTCTCATTCTGACTTCAAAGTTTTTGCATTCTTGTATAGAACATTCTTTTTTAACATAGTCCAAATTCTTCTTTTCTGTCAAACAGTAGTAGAAAAGGGCTATACCTTTTTAAAGGCTAGTGTGTCTGGAAGAAGCCCTATACTAACAAAACTCAATCCATAAAAAATGATATGGTCTTACTCTAGACCCATGCTCTCTTCTCTGCCTAATCTTCTTTCCACGAGAGCCAAACTACAACCTTGAGTATATCCCCCGACTTTAGAGACCATCTCAAGAATAGATTCAACACACTGAACACTAATGACTGAAGACCAGCTGAGTTGTAAGATGACACCAAGGACATCATACAAGAAGAAAGGAAAAGGTCATTAAAAAGACAGGAAAGAAAGGAAAGACCACAATGGATATCAGAAGAAACTAGGAAACTTGCTTTTGAATGTAGAGTAGCTAAAGGGAACAGAAGAAATGATGAAGTGAAAAGAGCTGAACAGAAGATTTCAAAGGGCAGCTCAAGAAGACAAAGTAAAGTATTATAATGAAATGTGCAAAGACCTGGAGTTAGAAAATCAAAAGGGAGAAACATGCTTAGCATTTCTCAAGCTGAAAGAACTGAAGAAAAAATTTAAGCCTCGAGTTGCAATATTGAAGGATTCTATGGGCAAAATACTGAACGACACAGGAAGCATCAAAAGAAGATAGAAGGAATATACAGTCACTGTACCAAAAAGAATTTGTCGATCTCCCACCATTTAAGAAAGTAGCATATGACCAAGAATGGATGGTACTGAAGGAAGAAGTCCAAGCTGCACTGAAGGCATTGGTGAAAAACAAGTTTCCGGGAATTGATGGAATACCAACTGAGGTGTTTCAACCAACAAATGCAATGCTGGAGGTGCTCACTCATCTATGCCAAGAAATTTGGAAGACAGCTACCTGGCCAACCAGCTGGAGGAGATCCATATTTGTACCCATTCCAAATAAAGGTGTCCAACATGTAGAAATTATCTAACAATATCATTAATATCACACACAAGCAAGATTTTGCTGAAGATCATTCAAAAGTGGTTGCAGCAGTGTATTGACAGGGAACTGCCAGAAATTCAAACCAGATTCAGAAGAGGATGTGGAACAAGGGATATCATTGCTGATGTCAGATGGATCTTGGCTGAAAGCAGAGAATATAGAAAGATGTTTCCCTGTGTTTTATTGACTATGCAAAGGCATTTGACTGTGTGGATCATAACAAATTATGGATAACATCCCAAAGAATGGGAATTCCAGAATGCTTAATTGTGCTCATGCAGAACCTGTACATAGACCAAGAGGCAGTAGTTCAAACAGAACAAGGGGTTTAAAGTCCTGAAAGGTGTGCGTCAGGGTTGTATCCTTTCACCACACTTATTCAATCTGTATGCTAAGCCAATAATCTGAGAACTGGACTATATGAAGAAGAACATGGCATCAGGACTGGAGGAAGATTCATTAATAACCTGTGATATGCAGATGACACAACCTTGCTTGCTGAATGTTAAGAGGACTTGAAGGACTTACTGATGAAAATCAAAGACTACAGCCTTCAGTATGGATTACACCTCAACATAAAGAAAACAAAAATTCTCACAACTGGGCCAATAAGCAACATCATGATAAACGCAGAAAAGATAGAAGTTGTCAAGGATTTCATTTTACTTGGATCCATGTCAACTTCCCTGGAAGCAGCAGTCAAGAAATCAATGACACATTGCATTGAGGAAATCTGCTGCAAAAGATCTCATTAATCTGTTAAAAAGCAAAGATGTCACTTTAAGGATTAACGTGTGCCTGACCCAAGCCATGGCATTTTCAATCACTTCATATGCATGCGAAAGCTGGACAATGAATAAGGAAGACCGAAGAAGAACTGATGCCTTTGAACTATGGTGTTGGCGGAGAATATTGAATATACCACGGACTGCCAGAAGAATAAACAAATCTGTTTTGGAAGAAGTACAGCCAGAACGTTCCTTAGAAGGGACGATGGCAAGGCTTCATCTCAAGTACTTTGGACATATTATCAGAAGGGACCAGTTCCTGGAGAAGGACATCATACTTGGTAAAGTAGAGGGTCAGTGAAAGGGAGGGAGACCCTCGACAAGATGGATTGACACAGTGGCTGCAAGATGGGACCAAGCATAGCAATGACTGTGAGGATGGCACAGGACTGGGCAGTCTTTTGTTCTGCTGTACATAGGGTTGCTATGAGTTGGAGCCAACAGGAAGGCACCTAACAACAACAATCTTCTTTCTGACTTTTATTAGCTTTCACCTTATATTTGCGCATGGACTGCGATACTTTATCTTTCCACATCAAAATTTAGTGTCCATTCTTCTGACATCAGTTTCTGGCCATGGCTATACCTTCCTCTGCTTCTGTGGCATACACTTGGCTTTGACCTCTGTCACTGCTTCCCTGTCATCTGAACCCTGACCTATTCCCTGGGCTTGCTCCAGATAGAATTCTGATGGCTCCTTAACATTTTACCATGCTACATAACTGAGAAGGGACACTTCTCATAACTTTTATCTGCTCAGTTCAAAACTCATGTACATTGAACTTGTAAAATCTCATGCCTGCAATTAGACAAGAGTTTGCCTTTACAGCTTTCCCTATCATCATTCTCTCTTTTCTCCCTCAATTTTTTTTTTTTTTTTATTGATTCAGAATACCTGGAAAGAAACTTACCTAGATAATTTTCTTTACATAAAGGCAGAACAGTCCCTAGGCTTACCTAGACAAAGACTTTATTCCCCATCATGAAAATCCCTTGCCATGTCCTTTGAGGAAGCCAGGAACATTTTTAGTTCTATTGCCAGAATGGGGAGACTTGTATTATTGCTTTCCCAGACTAGACCTGAGAATGCATTTCCCCAGAGAAAAAATGTTAATAGACGATGGTTAGTTTACTTGAAACCTTGTTAGTCTTCCAGTATATTAATATAGAAAATGGGTTTTTATGTGCTAATATATAATAATCTCTCACATATAATATTTCTATAGAAATTAACTTTTAAGCTACACATTGACAAATGAACTTTTAAGACAAAATCTAACAAAAATTAAGGCAAGAATGAAATCCAAATTCTTCCAAGAGGTCTTCCTCAACAAGCATAACAAAACTGAAACAAGATTAAACCTGTATAATCCCTTTCTATGCATACATATATGAACAGAAAAAAAAAAATCTTTATATATTAGAGATTAAATTCTATTTCAACATACCTGTTGTCTTCCTCCAGATTTATCCTGGATAACAGTCCTGGCAACAGCAGCAGTAAACACACAACATCTGAAAAATGAACTGATGACATTGCAAAGGCCAATGGCTATTAAATCCTGTAAAGCAATGGCAGACAGTTTAGGCTCATTGTTTGTTGAAGAATACTGATTTGATTTTGAAATAAAGGTGCACCGTTTTTGTTTTTTTTTTTTTTGCCTAGTATTCTTAGAAAGAATAAAAGGATGGCAAATCTGATTTTCTAGATTACTACGTTGAATCTTCATTTTAGCTAGTGATCATAAGGAGAGAACTTCATCAAGGTGAGAAAATGAGGCTCTTGCCTTTTTATTCTCTTTCACATGATCTTCAGGACTTAGAATAACAGGGAGAAGTAAGAGTACTTTTTTTGGGAACCCTGGTGGCATAGTGGTTAAGTGCTACAGCTGCTAACAAAAAGGCTGGCAGTTTGAATCCACCAGGTGCTCCTTGGAAACTCTGTGGGGCAGTTCTACTCTGTCTTATAGGGTTGCTATGAGTTGGAATCAACTCAGTGGCAATGGGTTTGGTTTGTTTTATACTATGCTAAAAGTCAAACTTGGCCATCTCCTGCTTCCATATTTTCCTGTTGAGTTCTAGGGAAAGGGCCAAACTAGGAGTTGTTGAAGAGTTCCCTTCAAAAAAAAAAAAAAAACAAAGGCAAAAACTAATTCTGGGAGGCCAATTTAATTACAGGTAGTCCCTGACTTATGACATGGTTCCATTCCTACAACTCTATCATAAATCAGTTCTGATGTATGTCAAATACCTCTTTTTTTTTTCAGTTTTAATTATCATTGCTTTTTATTATCAGTATCTTTATAAATCCAGCAGTGTTTTGAACAGTAATTCATAAAATTGAACATCTGCAAATGAACATCTGAGCATGATAACAGTAAATTACACACACAACATATTACTAACAATGAGATGCTACAAACAAAAATACAGACGGTGTTAAAAATACAGACGGTTTGTCATAACTCGAATATGTCGTAAGTCGGGGACTACTGTATAATAGTAGCCTGGTTTTGTACATGATATCCTCCAGCATTTGTACCTCAGAATATGTGGCTGACTTCTAAGGACTGGGTGGAAAGGAAGGTAAAGTTAAGAGAGGAACTCTGCTACTCTGCTAGCTTAACAACATGATGGTATATGTTATCTGCTTGCCTCTCTGCACCATCTCTGTTCTAGAGGAATAACACTCATGTTAATTCAAGTGGCTTCAAAGTTAAGTATCCCTCATTCCTCAAAAATCCTTTGGTCATTAGTGTCCAAGTTATGGCCCAAGCAACCCTTTGGTTAGAGAAGAACTCAGCCTTCAGGTTGGCAAGAGGCTCAGATTAGAGAACAAAGACATAATGGTCAGAGGCAGTGTTATGGATTGAATTGTGTCCCCCCAAAATATGTGTTGGAGTCTTGACCCCGATACCTGTGTATGTGATCCCATTTTGGACTAGGGTTTTGTTATGTTAATGAGGCCATATCAGTATAGGGTGTGTCCTAAACCTAATCACTGCTGAGTTATAAGGAGTAGCACAGACACAGAAGCAAGCAAGCACAAATGGGGGAAGGATAGGTGTCACGTGGAGATTGCCAAGGAAGTGAGGAACGGAAGCTGACAGAGACAAAGATTTTCCCCCAGCATGGAGGGAGAAGGCCTTCCCCTAGAGCCAGTGCCCTGAATTTGGACTTCTAGCCTCCTAAACTGTGAGAAAATAAATTTCTGTTCATTAAAGCCACCTACTTGTGGTATTTTTGAAACAGCAGCACTAGGAAACCAAGACAAGCAGTATAGAAGGTCCTGTCCTCTCACCTGGTTTGAATTGACACGGTAGTTATGGATAGTGGCAATCTTCTTGCCTAGAAATATGAGTAGAGAGGAGCTCACTAAAGCTAAAGAGATGCCTTGTAAAATAACCTTGGGAAGAATGTCCATATCTGGTATTACAGGAAACAGGAAGCTGGAATAAAATGGTAGAATTATTCCTAAATAGCAGGAATTCCTTTATTGGCACCTTCCCACGCCACCCTTCTCCAACTGGGCAGGCCTGATTCTTTTTTACAATAATAAGGGACATGTAGAGCAACTGAGGCAGCAGCCTGGCAAACTGCCAGCAACCCAAGCCAAGTTACAAAAGTCATTAGGAGAACATGCTCTGTTGCCTTCTGGTTTGAGGTTTCTGCCAAGCAGCAAAGGCAACAAATAGGACAGGCAAAACCATAATGATTCATGAAAAATGGTTTATTTACATTGAGACCATATCAACAGGTAAACCATAGGCAGATATCACATGCAATATGTATTAGACCTAGCAAGCACAATGAATTCTCTTCTATTCGCACTCAAATCCTTCATGCTATCATTTTAGTTATTGCCCCTCTATGCAAATTACTTCCAAATTCTACCCCCACGTTATACTCTATAGTTTTGAGATCACCAGAATGTCAACACTTTGTCATTTTGCTGATAGTCATGATCATCTAATTCTATTAACACAATACATTCTATTTCTACTAAGATCATACCATACAAAACATTCCCAGACACATATAACCATGATCAGAACCTCTTACCAGGTATATCTCCCATTCTATTGCTAACTAGTAAACTCTCCTTGTTTAATACAATAAACTTTCTTCTTAGTATTACCATCATATTGCTGTCCAGAGAATTAAGGAACACCCTAATTCTTATAGGAATGGATCCCTGCTCATTCATGTATTGGTTTAGTAATTTTAACTCTGCTGTTAAGTCAGCTTCTGTGTAGTCAATTTTAGGCTGTAACTTCTTAGAGGTCAGGGATTACGTTTTTGGCTCCCTTTGTATGCAGGCAGCATAGTACCACTCACAAATATTTGATATTTCTTTTTAACATAGAACATTTCCAGTTAGGGTCATGGCTTCATGGGACTGTCCAGTCAATTGGCCTAAAATAGTTTTTAAAGTTGAGTAGTACCTGGTGTCTTAAAAGCTTGCTAGTGGCCATCCAAGATACAACAATTGGTCTCTATTCACCCGGAGCAGCAGTGAAAGAAGAAGATCCAGGAATCGGAGAAGGAACTGGATTGCAGGTGTAACTGCCTACATGAACTACTGTCTCCTTTGTCATGAGACCAGAAGAACTGGATGGTGCCTGGCTACCATTACTGAGTGTTTTGATCAAGGACTCAATAGATGAATCCTGATCCAAAGGGGGAAAAAAGGTGGAACAGAATTTCAAATTCTTACAGAATCCAGACTTACAGGACCCACTGAGACTGGAGGAACCCCAGAACATGAGAAAATCAATTTAAACCTTGAACTGAAACTATCCCCTCAAGTCATGTTTAAACTACACAACAGTTTAGCTTAATTAGTAAAAAACATTTGCCTTGAGCATTACGCTCCCTCCTTTAAATAATTACTTATATGAGATCAAATTGCCAATAGTAATTCTAAAGCATAGTTGAGAAATTTAGAGGATAGTAAACCTAAGTCAATGGTGGTAAAACAATATGGGTAGAGATAGTGAGAATGGTGATACAACATCAAGAATATAACAAATGTCATTGAAATGTACATGTAGAAATTATTTAATGGGTGTATTTTTGCTGTGTATATTTTAACCAAAAAATTTTTTTAAAACACTAAAAAAAAAAACAAAAAAAGCATATTTTGCAAAAAAAAAAAGTAGAACACTTCCAAACATTTATAAAAAAAGAAAGGATGGCACAAGGAGCCCTCGTGTACTCATCTTCCATCTTCAGCATTTAACAATTCATGACCAATCTTATTTAATCTGTACCTCTACCCACTGTCTGTTCCAAGACTATTTTGAAGAAAATTCCAGGCATTGTATAATTTCAATTGTAAATATTTCAGTATACTTCTCTAAAAGATGTACACCAAAAAATTATTACCAATTTCTTAATATTAGCAAATGTCCAGTCAATATTCAAGCACCCCCAAATGTCTCATAAATATATATTTTAAAATTTGTTCAAATCAGGACCCAAATAAGGTCCATACGTTACAATTGGTTGCCATGTCTCTTAAATGTCTTTTAATCTATAGGTTCCCCATCCATATCCTTTTTTTTTTCTTTCTTCCTTGCAATTTTTTGTTAAAGAAACCCGGTCATTGGTCATATAGAGTTTCCCACAGTCTGGATTTTGCTGATTGCATCCTTGTGGTGTCATTTAACATTGTTCCTCTGTTGCTTGAATTTGCTGTAAATTGGTAGTTAGCCCTTCAGATTTGGTCAGATTTGGGACAGGTGTCTGTGAGCAAAAATACTTCATAAGTAGTGGTACTTCCCTCAGGAGGCACATACAATATTTGTCTCTTTTCGTGATGTTAGCAACCACTAATGAATGATTATTGCTAGTATACCTTAATGGTGATATTCTAATTCTTTAATTCCTTCTCCCTTTATTAGCTGGAATACTTACTATAAAGTGAAATGCCTTGTTATCAGCTATTTGTTGTTGTTAGGTGCCGTTGAGTCAGTTCTGACTCATAGAGATCCTATGTACAACAGCTATTTGGATACCCTGAAAAGTAGTTCCTATAGGAAAGGCATGATAAATGTTTGATTCTTTCCCTTTATTTAATAATTTTCAAAATAATAAAGTGCCTCTCCAGCATTACTTATGGGTGAAAAAATGAGATTTTGCTTTTAGAATCTGTATATATTCATGGATTTAAGCATATTTGATATGTTTGTCCAGTGATAGTCTCTTTAAGATGGCTCCTTGGTTATTTTAAATTTTTATTGAAATATAAATCACATAACATCAAATTTACTTTTTTGAAATGTACAATTCAGTGGTTTTTAGTACATTCACAAAGTTGTGCATCCATCATCACTATCTAATCACAGAATATCTGCATTACCCCAAAAAGAAACCCTGAACCCATTAGCAGCTACTCCTAATTCCTCCCTTCTCCCCAGCTCCTGGAAATCACAAATCATTGGTGGTGCATAGAAAAACAACTGATTTTTTTTTTTATATACTGATCTTATATCCTGCAGCTCTGTTCAAGGCATTTATTCATCCTGGGCCCTTTTGACAAAACTCTGGTAGTCACTGAGAATGTCATTGCTTTCTTGTAGGACAATATATTTCAGATCGTGTGGTTATATTTCTTGCCCTAGACCTGGAACCAGCTATTCCTCCAAGAAGTCAGTGATGGATTGAATTATGTCCTCCATAAATATGTGTTGTAAATTCTAACCTCTATGCCTGTGGTTATAATCCCATTTGGGAATGGGTTGTCTTTGTTATGGTAGTGAGGCAGATTTAGTGTAGGATATATCTTGAGTCAATCTTTTTGAGATATAAAAGATTAAACAAGCAAGCCAGCAAGCAGAGATGGGGGAAGATAGATGCCATGCACATGACGATCACCCAGGAGCAGAAGCTCAAAAGAGACAAGTACCTTCCTCCAGAGCCAACAGAGAAAAAAGCCTTTCCCTAGAGCCAGCACCCTGAATTCGGACTTCTAGTCTGCTGACTGTGAGAAAATAAATTTGTTTGTTACAGCCATCCACTTGTGGTATTTCTGTTATAGGAGCACTAGATAACTAAGACAAAGTCCTCATTACTTTTAGTGAGAAAAGGCATTTAGAGACTACAAACTGGGTACTAGCAGTGTTCATTGTTACTGGGTGGCCATTGTTGCTAGGCCTTGGCGAATAGAACTATGAAATAAGTATTTTTTAAAGACAAAATACATCATTAATTTATACAAATAGTTCCAATCCAAATACAGAACTACAAGGTTTTTATATGACCTCATGGATTTCACATCCTTTCTCCTTTGCTGAAAAATCCCAATTTTCAGCAGCAGGGGTGGATTATCCAAAAGGCAAGGTAAGCCTGGTGCTTATCTTGCTTACCAGGTCATCTGCAGTGAACAATTTCACATTTTTTCAACACATCACGAAGATTCTGCTTCTAGGTATTGCTGGCATCTGCCTCTCTCCCAACCCCACAGCACCTTCCTACAGAATCAAAGCCTCTTTTCAAATTTACAGTCCCTGACAGGGACAGACGAGCCAGTGAGCAAAGTAAGCATGGGTTTATTTGTGCTTACTTCCTAATCTGTAGTGCACAATTTCACATGTAGCTGTGGTGAAAAACGTGAAATTGTTCACTACAGATTATGAAATAAGCACAAGTAAACCTGTGTTTACCTTGCTTATTGGGTAATCTGCCTCTGCTCAGCAGCACTAACATAATTATTCATTGGTTATATCCCACAATACACACAAAACAGAAAAACAATGCCAACACCAACAATATTATTACTGAAAACAGTTTAAGATTTTCTTATCAGTCTTTTTGTGCTTAGGATTTATTACATTAGGGTTGAACAGTCAAATTACTGTAGTTTAATAATCATTTGGAATAGTTCTCTGGGTGTTTATTCCACCAACTCAATACATACGTTCATTTGTTTTATTCTGATTTTTGTTTTTAACGATTGTTTATTTTTTTATCTAATTTTGTTTTGAAATAATAAAGAATAATTATATAATACCAGAGCCAAATACAAAAACAATATATTTTAAGAGAAGCCTAGCTTCCTTTACTATCCTCTCCACGCTATTACTTTCCTCTCCTTAGAGGAACCTTCAAAAATATTGTATTTTATCAAAGTGTCAGGAGACCTGTGATTCTTCTGAGAATTGCCTTTTCCAGCTTCTAGAGGCTGCCTGCATTCCTTGGCTCATGCCCCCTTCCTCCATCTTCAAAGCCAAAAAAGGCTTTCTCATGCTGCATCACTTAACACTGCTCTTCTGTAGTCAAATCCCCCTCTGTCTCCCTTTTTTTAGGATACTTATGATTTTATTGGAGCCCTGGTGGCACAGCGGTTAAGAGATTGGCTGCTAACCAAAAGGTCAGTAGTTCGAATCCACCAGCTGGTAGCTGCAGTCGACTCCACAGCAACAGGTTTGGTTTTTTTGGTTTGATG